AATATTCGATCTTTATGCTGCATTTTCCTACTAAGTCTTCTAATTACCAACTATCTTCTTCCTTTTGCTGCGGGGTAGAATGAGACAAAGCAGGTAGCTAAAACAATAAGCACCGTCTAGGGTAGTGGTGTTTCACCTCCATCAGCTTCCAGATGTCTGAACAGAAGTGTGATGACACTGTGATGACACACTCTCACTCTGCCAGAGATCCCTGTAACCTTTCCACAGCCAGAGATTCAGCCTCTAGAAATCAAACTTCAGCTTGCATGGGGGAGAAGCTTCACGGCTGCCCGTGTGGCAGCAAGGAGGGAGGCACACACAGAGCCACCAGAAGTGGCATGAGGACACTGGCAGTGCCTGAGTTGCTCAGAGAAGTGGTGAGGTTGCTCAGGGAAGTTTATAAGCTCTGATTGCATCAGTTCTTTGTTGCACTAGCAAATGCCAAACAGACTCTTTTCCAGTCAGCCCTGGACAGCACACAGAACTGACTGAAAAGGATGGGGAAAAAAAGTACACAGCATACCCACCTGGAAAAAAGGACATAATAGACCAACTGAGATTGTTTCCATCCAGTATTTCTGGAGAAAGTTAATGATGAAGTAGTGGCTGACCCAGAAAATACTCATTAACACTAGCTACAATATCAAAGGTAGCAAATACATCATTTTCAAGCAAAGCAATAATGGGGACCATTGCTCATTGTGTCCTACTTCAGACACCAGACATCTTAGTTGAAACAATCATTAAAAATTTGGGTTATAAAGGAAAACTACCTAGCTGACACAGACATGATGGGCAGAAGAATTCAACATGGCTTCTGAACAAAATCGATCATTGATCTGTTCTGCTTTTGCAACTCATTAGTGGTCCAGCTACACGGAGCTAGTTAGTGCTACAGCAGCCACATACAAATACACCACTTTGTTCTTTAAAGGCAAAGCAAAAGATCTGAACCATCAGCTGTAGCCCAGGCTCTGCTGAGCACACTAGGAAACCTTAGTTACCACAAAAGGCAGCCAGCTGACTGGCACAGGAGCAGGAAAGGGCACCTTTCAGAGCACAGGGCCTCCACAACTTCCACAGCCTTGACAACAACGCCACGTGCTAGGGCTTCAGTGGACTTCATGGCATTGTCCTATTGCCAGTCAACAGTGCCACTACTGTTAGCTCACTTCTCTTCACATCTAATGAGATTAGGCTCCGGTTAGCTTAGGAAAATCCATTTGTTGGGATATTAAACTAAGGACTGCATTTGGGTGGCTTAAATCACAAGTCTCCAGCTGTATCAAGTTCCCAGCCTTGATTAGCTCAAATGATCTCAAGCAAGCTTCACATCCTCTCTGGTCTCAGCACAATAACTACATCTAAATCGGGCTTGAAAGACTTTCTGCTCCTTGTTCAAAGATCAATTTCTTTCTGCTCCCTAAAGCTTCAGGGCAGCCTGCATTTGTTGTAGGAAGAATCTGTACATTCAGTTCCTCTCCCTGATCACCTCCAAGTGAACCTCTGCCTCTTTGCTTTAAGTTACACTTTCCATTAGTCACTGACCAATTCTGTCATTTCAGGGTTACTGTAAATTTTAATAACAGTTTCTCAGCTGAAAACAAGCTCCTCTTTCCTCTTGCAGTGCCTGGGCTTTATCTGATAGAGATTACAGCACACTTACAGTAAAGGAACTCTCACCTGCCATAGAGGCCCCACACCAACCAGCTGTGTCCCCCACTCCCCGGGAAATTGCCATTTAGGAGAGCTCCTGTGGCCTAATGCTAGACACAGGGCCATTTCTGCAGTTGTTTCAGCTGGACACACTTGGCCCTGGCCTCAGGCCCGGTGTTCTCTGACAGACCCCCAGCAGCTCTGAGAGAGCGTGAGATGTGTGCAACATGAACGGTGCAATCCCAGCAAACCATGAACTGTAAAGACCCAAAGTTTCAGAGGGGAATTTATTATATGGGAGCATATCCAATATTTTTTGTCAACCATTCATGAGAATAATAAAAATAGAAGCTTTTTAAATGACAAAAGATATAGTTACATATAATACAGATTTTCATCTTGCATTGAAGCGGAGCAGTAATAAAATGCTCACTTGTGTTTTCACAGTTTGTGTTGCTTCTCTAAGTTAAAGCATCAGCAACTCAAGTGCTCCAGTCAGAACCCCTAGTTAGCAGTTTCATGGGACGATGGTGAGGGTGAATGCTCCCAGCACTCTGACACACTTCACAAGTACAGCAGGCACACTTGATCCATTTCAGAACTACTAAAATTTTCAAAGGTACCGGCTACACTTGAGGCATCCTTGCTGCAACTGAAAGGGTTTTGTATCAGAACACGTTTTTTAGGCCCCAGTCAGAAACACATGGGTGGAACACTCAAGAATATCCTAAATCTAATCTGGTTCAAAGGGCTGAGAGTTGATCCTCTGTGACCCCCTTGTTCTGCTCTCACAAGCACCACACATGAGCACAAAGCTCTAACCAGTACTTGGTCACATGTGTAAAGTGCTTGCAAGACCACAAAGGATTTAACATTCTTCAGCACTCCACTTAGAGCCCTAAAGGCATTCACTGCTTGCATACATTGGTATTTACTACACACACTGAGACCCAGCCCCCAATATTATTGCAATAATTCTTTGCTGGTATAACAGCTGACACACCAAGTTTCACTTAATTAGTTTTCTACAAACATAGAAAAAAAACACCTGAAGAGAGCTAGAACAGCTCTCAATCAGTCACTATATTGGCATTGAAAGCTTTATTTTGAAAACTTTAAGCAGCAATACTGAATAAATAGACAGAATGATTGTTTTGTCATCTCCATACAACTGATGGCCTTCATCCAAAACATTAAAATACTGTAGCAAATAGAATAAACATGCACAGTTCAATGTTCTAAAAAAAAAAACCCAAACCAAACAAAAAGAAAAAAAAAAACAAGAAAAAAGAAAAAAAAAACAAGAAAAAAAAAAACAAACAAAAAAAGGAGGTGTAATATAAAAGTAACACTTTGACACATTTTTAAATACAGTACAGACCATTAGAGACTATTTTCTGGAAAAAAATATCTGAATACAGTTTTGTTATTTACATGTATCATTAAGGCCCAATTCACTCAAGTTAATGCACATCAGGAATTTATATGCTTCAAGGTAACTCACTAAAAATAACAAGATCGATGTTTCTTTGATCATAATCATATGATCCCAGTTCACTAAAATAATGCAATACTCTTCATGCCAAAACCAAGGCAATTGCTGCCCCAAGAGGAGATTTTTATTTCACTAAAGGATCTTTTTCCCTCTTACCTCATATATTTGCATATGCTAATGCTAGTAGTGGTAGTTCTCTTCCTCAGGAACTTCCTCCAAACTTGCCAGGGTTTAGAAAAGCAAGCAATCTCAAAGCTAACATACCATTTCCAGAAGCAATTCAGGCACTTGGGAACCTAAGTCCCACTGAAAGATACTGGGAGCTGACTTTTCAGCGTGGGACTTGGTTTCTCCCTTGCTTAGGCATTCAGACTGTTCACCTTAGCCTTAAACTACTGGCTTTTCAGATGGTTCATCCCCCTCTTTTCCCCTAACAACATAGCATCTCCAGCAAAAATAAACTGTATCCTCATGGATGAGAGAGGTAACACAGTTAATTTCCATTAGTAATAAATTACCAGAGTTCTCCATATAAATTCCCTGTGCACTGGAAAATAGTGCTTGTGTATTCAACTATTTAACGCAAGCAAAAAACCCCATTTTTATCATGCTGCCCAGTAAATAATATGGCACTTGTTAAAATTACTATGTGTAGCTTCCTTTCTGCTAATGCCCCAGGACGTTTGAAACACTTCTGAAAATGGACTTTTTGTACAGTTGCAAAGAAAGAGTGAGTTTCTGCAGTTGATCAGAAGCAAAACTCTAAACACCGTAGTGGAGGAATTTTTCTAACTGTTACACATGGGTCAATTCACATTTAATGCAAGGGCATGCCATTTCTTTTTGGTTTATTTACAGAGAGGGTGAAAATGCTACGGAACTTCAGCCTGGGTGAAATTCAATAAGCAAGTGGAGTATGGTGGGCGCAGGGGAATTTGTCAGTGTCTCACAACTGGCAGGTCTGGATACCAAAGCCTCTCCTTGGCCACAGGAGTGGCTGAAGCTGCAGACGTTTTTTCAGATCACCTTGACATGTGCCAAAGCCCTGGCAAGGAGGGGCCACTCAGGGGTGCTGCAATGGTCACTCCTCAGCCAGCTCCAGGCTGGCCCCTATGTCCAACAGTGCTGCAGTCAGCAGGTGCTACCTTTTAACTCAAATGGCAAATTCCTCCCTTGATTCTATGACAAAGCTGTAATTCAAGCCCTCCAAAGCTGCTCTTACTCTTCCTTTCAATCCTTTTCCTCCTCCCTCCGTGTTACAGAATAACTTGACAGAGAAGGAGAGCAGGTTTTATGATGCAAGAGCCCAATTCAGCTCAAACTGACATCTGTGGGAGATGGACCAGTCACAGAATATGACAAAATCATTAGCTGGGGTAAATATGCTGATCTTCCTTAAAAATACTTCATCTCAGGACAAGACTGTTTCCCCCCACCCCCATGCAGCATAATTTGGGCCAGACTTTGCAAGGTGCTGAGTGCCTCAGTTCTCTAACATCAAGAGGTGCTGAAGATGCAAGATATCCACTGGAGAGGGCCATTTCATTTCTGTAAATTGAACCCAGAATGTAAGGCATATATGCTCAAGTACCTTGGACAGATATTGTCCCCAAACTATGTATACTTTACACTTTTTATATATATATACACACACATTCTTTCTTTTTTTTTTAATACAAAGTCATGGGCACAGTAAACATGAGAACAGAATTGTGATAAACTAACAGTAAAATGGGTGAGCACTGCAAAGGTTTCTCAGGCAGGAATATCTCATTTTCCAGTTTGCTCACAAGGGAAGGTGAAAAAAAAAAAAAAAGACGTGATAAGTTAAACAGTAAAAAAATCATAGTCCATTTGGAAAGGTCCTTTATATATTCACAGCCTTATCTGTTGCTGTTAGTCTAAATACAGCAGCATTTTTAGAATATATGATGCCATTAATAAGTGGAAAGGAAAAAAATTGCATTAAACACTCAAGAATCCTTCATCTTCTGCTATATCTTTTAAAACTTCCAATTGTCAGGAAGCTTCTTTTTAAGAAAAGGAGATTTAAATTAACATTTATCTGCACATCAGTGAATCAACACAAGAGGATGCTAGGAGTTAAGTCTAGTTTTTCTATGGCTAAAAGCTTGGAGTTTCCTAGCAGTGGTAAAATCCTGACCCTGCCAAGGAGGCCAAGCCTTCAGCACTGCAGCAAGGGCACAGTGTCCCCTCTCGTGCCCGGGGTATCTCCAAGGTGGGGATGTTGCTGTGAGTTGATGGTAGAACAAGAAATCCAAACCAGGGAAGGCCCTCCCTTCCCTAACTCATCCGTGAGGCCAGCCCCCAACGTTTACAGTGTGTCCCACTGTTGCCAGTTCCCTTCTCCACAAACCTGGTGTCCCCTGCAGCAATCTCACTTCAAGGCCTGCAAAACATGAGCAATTTGGGAGTGGCTGCTTTCTGCAGGAACCCCTTTTTGTTTGATTCTTTCTTAGCTTTGATTGCATTAGAGCAACATCAAGATGGGATAATGTTCTCGTTTCATAAGTTTTGTGAAAAATGACCGCCAAATGTGTGAAATTTCTGCTTGGAAGCTTTACATCCTGTAAGTGACTGTCTTTCATAGGGACAAGTGTCTCCACCAGGGAGCTAAATGAAATCCTGGCCTCACTCCTATCAATAAGAACTCTGCTATTGACTTCATGGGACTCTGCCAGGCTTCTTCCCTTCACAAAACTTGAGTGAATTCTGGAAAGCTGGAAGTGGATACTCATTTGTGTTGTGTCTTTCTTCCCCTCCAACAAGAAGATTTGTTACAAAACAAGAACACTGTAATGGCTAGTGGAAAAAATAAAGTACAAAATCACACACAGTGAAAGCCTCCTACTCTCTTTTGGTAAGATATATGAAGACAAGTCTTACATTGTTCTTTTCTCAAAAGGCATATACAATGTGGCAAAATATTTCAAATATACATTCTATATAATAAAATATCATCTAACTAGTGCATCCTCAATCATATGCTGGAAATATTTTTACCAAGCCAAGGTTTAAAATTAATAAATCTTTCGAACACTAGGTGCTTCATTCAAGGCAGATACAACAGCAAGTAAATCCCACAAATTCACTTTTCAAGCCTTAAAAGGTAGCAATGGATGGAACATGACATATGATGACCCAGAACAGAAATGAACAAAGTTAGTGGTGGGAAACCACTGCAATGGTTCAGCACCCCTCAGAACTCTGCATTGCAGGTTGCTGTAGTTGATCAGATGGGGGATGTTGGTACACACAAATCAAAGTCACCTTGTCAGACTGACACACAGCCATTCGTGATAATTCACAAGTTAAAAATAAAAATATAAAAGGTCAACATTCACAGGTCCATTGATTAAAGGGAATAAATTAAACCTCAGATAAGTTGCATACTCGGTTTCCTTCACCCTCAGTCTTCCATTTATACCTATACAAGGAACAATACTTTCCCAAACACTTCTGAAGTGGCAAAAACAATGACGGTTTTTGCACTTAAGTTGTGTTGACAGCAAGGTCATCCTTGCCAATTATGAACTGAGAGAGTTCCTGTCTCTTTAGCATCAGTGCACAGGGTATGGCTCCAAGTGGTGTTGGAGGAAGAAGAAAAAAATAACACGGCGGTGTAACAAAAAACCAAAACAAGACAAACTTCTTCCATTCGTCATTGGCAGAATAAAATAAAGTGTATCTTGTCCAGGGTACCTTGCTAGGTCCTCTCTAGAAGAGGTATGTACTGTCATACATAAATGCCCTCCGGGTTAAAACCAGATGACAGGGGGTTCTGTAGGATCCGAAGGTTACTGGGGAGTTGCCTCGAGGAGCCAGGGCGCTTCAGTGACCCAGACTGAAAAGTTGGCTCTGCATGAGAAAAAGCGCAATTAGAAAAGTCATCAGCAGGGGTGCACCTCTTCTCCTCCTTAATGCAATACAGAAAAACTAATTCCACATGTAATAAACTACTGAAGTGCCTGGCTAGGAAGCAGGAGATCTAAGGTGCACACTTCCTACTCATTCAAAACAGAATGAAATCCATGCAAAAGTATTACGCTCCCACGAGAAACATGTACACAGACACACATTATATGGTGGTGTGCAGAAAGAGCTTGAACCTGTACCATAACTCCAAGCTTCAGCTTCCTGCCCACTTAAAGAGCTCATACAAGTGCTGCATTTGAAGGCCTAGTTGTCTTTTCCTCCCTCCCCACCCCCTTGTGCTTCCAGTGCCTTTTGGTTATAAAGTTGTCTGAGCAGAGGGACAGACCCAGCACAGGAGAATGCCAAGAAAAAGAGCCCCTTGGAAGCAGAGTGCTGGAAAAAGCACACAACTGCGCTGGTGCCACAGCTCTGACATGCATTCAAAACGCTCCTGTGGTTCTGCCCAGGAAATTCTGGATCCAGATGTGGGCACGTGCAGGCTGCACTGATCTCACTGGGGGCAAAGTCAATTCGCACCCGCTGTAAAGCCATCTGTGCACGACTTCTGCATGGCTGGCAGCCCAGCTGGATTGGCTCCTATTCCCGTGCGGTTGCTGTCTGGGATTTCTCGGGATCCAGACACATTCCTTTTTCTGCTTTGACAACACCCCCACCAGAAGAGGAAGAACCCAGACGAACAGCAATGTCAGATGCACAATCACGTTCCGTGCTGGCAGCCAGCCACGGCGGCCACTCTCAAAAGCTGCAGGCTTAATGCGTTGCTGATGGGACAAATGCATGCCCAGGCACAGTGGGAGAGAAGTTCTCCATATCGTGCTCTTTATTTAGAGCCTGCTAAACCCTTGGAATGGAAAGAAGTACTCGACAATGCGGTTTGCATTTTAGCGTTTTGCTGTCTTCGCTAAGGGAGCATTCACTTCGCCTAGGAGTGCCGGCACCGAGCGGCAGTAAAGGCACTGCCCGCCCCTTCTCCCTCCCTCCCTCCCTCAGCATCCCGAGGGCTGCACCTCTCTCGAGCTCCACATGTGGGGCCTCCACCTCCACGGGGTCTGCCGGCAGCACCGTCACCTTGGTTCCCGTTTGCTGGATGAACTGCTGCAGGTTCACCTGGCGCAGCTCCTTGGTCAATTGCTCCAGTTCTTGTTCCCTGTCCTGCCAGGAAACAGAAAACATCTGCTGAATAAATAAAGCAGCATTTCATGACCATATTTACAGTTGGGCAACTAATTCTTCTCATTTTTTGCTTCAATTTTTAAAGCTCGAATGCAAATTGAAGAGCTGAAACTTATTTCAATCTTGTAATTTAAAAAGTGAGTCAACACTCACTAGCACTTACTAGAATCACAGAATCAATTTGGTTGGAAAAGACCTCTGAGATCATTAAGTCCAACCCATAACTCTAATTGGGTTTTTCTTAATGTATTTTATTTTTATATTGCTTCTTAGATGACTAGCAGCTGTTTCTCATACCACCTGAGAAAAACTTTGGCACGTCAGCAAATAAAGGTAATAGTGTGAATGCTGAAAAAATAATCAACTGAGCAGCAGTCTGGCACCAAGTCTTACTTCTTCCTGAAGTGTCCAGCATGGCTTGGACAGCTTATTTAATTCTTCTGATCTTAAAAGGAGTAAAATTATTTTCTCTTCTTGTTCTTTGCATTTTTTATTTAAACTTTTTTTGGCTAGAACCTTCTCACTGTGCAAAGGTTTTGTGCAGTGAAGCCAAAGCCTGGCTGGTTCCCCACCCCTTCAAAGCACAGATGATCATTTAGGATCTTTCTCTGTACTTCTGTCACGATATGCAAAAAATTACACAGCTCTGATAGATTACAACAGTCTTGGACTATTATTATTCCCACACACAGACACTGAGTGAAGAGATATCTTTAACTTTAGGTATGCAATAAAATATTTGTCTATTTCCTCCCTCCCAAAGCTCCATAATGCAGAGCTCAAGTTTATTTTCTTGTGGACTTCCAGATTTGTGCACCTTTAGGTTTAGAACAAAACTGGAAGATCTGAATTGGATGGGAACTTTCCCAAGAAAACCTAGACTATGGAAAGAACCAAGCCAGAAATATTTTGAACTCCATTATAGCCTCAGTAAATGTGACTGAGGATAGATAAAACACAAAGAGGACTTGAAGCTTTCCATCAGTGCAAATCCTTAAGAGTAGCATGTCTGGAAACTTAGCACAGATAAACATAGCCAAAACTGTTTACAGTTTTCATCCATTTTACTTTGGATGAAAAGATTAGTTTTTCTACCCTTCATCATCTAATAAAAGCAGCTCATACTGACACAGTTCTAAGGCAGGAGTAAGGATATGAAAACCCTTTACATATTCACAGTGGAATCACCTTAATGCCACTGCAGTGCTGCAGAATATACTAACTGTGAATCGAATATACCAACTGTGAATCCTGGGAATCAGCAAGAACCACAACTCCGACTGATGTGTGGTGCCTTCGGACTACCCTACGTGGCACATAAAAATCTCAGGAGCTCCAATCTTTCCTCCACCTCATCCAGCTAGCAGCTGGAGTTCCTTTATTCTTTCATGCTCTATCACATTCCAGGTGATATCATTAACTTTAGCAAGAACACAGGGATTCTCTTTTGACACATGTGCCACAAATAACTGAGGAGTAGAGAAGATAAAATCCTGAACACAGCAAGTCAGCCAGGAAAAGAGGGGTGCTGTTCTTTAAAACTAAAGCCCTGTAAGGTTGCAGGTACTTTACTTTAGCTCGGTACCTTTCCAGGTGCTGCTTTTGGACTGTTCTTTGTAATTAACATCTTTTGGTGGCAGACAAACCTAACAAAGATCAGAAGTTTATCCTCAATAAAGGCTATGATAGTGCAAATTACTGCTTTTCTTCTCAGACAGTTTGAACGAGCAAGTTAAACACAGGTGAAAAAAACCCTGTCTGCTCTTCAAAAAAACCCCCCACAAACTGAAACGTGATTTGAAAATGAAAGCAACATACTCTCCCTCCCTTTTACCGTGATT